CATTCCAGAATAATTTTTAGGGGGAAAAATATATTAGAATTTGTGAAGATTTTGTTTATATTAAAAATAATGACAAATGTGATTTTCTTGCAAACAGCACTGATCTTTTGTTGCCACATACATGTAAACAATGGTATATAATTCTTACTGGCAAGCTTCCTTAAAGGAACAAGGTTTTAAAAAAAATCATAGATTTTATATTTCAAATTAAATTTCATTTCCCAGAAAATATCACTTTGAAATTTAAACTTTCACAACTTTAGAAATAACCTATTATGCATATCATTCCTCTTAGTCTGTCAATAAGTCTTGTATTACTTCCTCATAATACACACACACATATGTATATATACACGCACAAGGAGGTGCTGAAAAGTTCTCACAACCAAGACAAAAGACATAAAACATATTTCATATATTCACTCCATATTTCAACAGACAAGCCACACTGTTTCTATACTTTAAAACTTCTCCCCAAAATACCAATGTTTCGTTATTGAAAGACTGATCTTGGGAACTTGGTCAAGCTGAGAACTTTCCTGAACCCATATATATATATATATATATATATATATATATATATATATATATATATATATATCTATATCATTTATGGGTTTAAAATTTGACATATTTATGAGAGAAAAGAGCTCAATATCATAGATAGAGTGTTTATGGATATAAAAATGTGGGTATAAGGAAAAAATATTGCATGGCAACTGTTAGTTTTACACTTCAGTGTGATCTTCAGACTACTAAAGCATGAAACTGACAGTCACCATACACTGTTGATTCCTATGACCACACTATATATACATATATATGATTAAAGTAGAAAAAATAGGAGATCCTTTAAAAATTTGACACATGTTGGTACTTTCCTATTTAAACATTAAGTGGGACTTATATATATATATATAATTATGTATGCATGTGCACATACATATATATATATATATATGGATCTATACATACATATATATATGTAGGTATCTAATCATGCATGAATAACATGTAAATCATCCCTGAAATGCTCACTTAGGAATTGTGTCCTGAGATGGGTCTTACTTAGTCATGACTTCCACCATACATATATACATATATGTATTGGCAAAGTTTGACCTTTGTGTCTACAATAAAACAGTGTGTCAAATGGACAGTTTTCTCTTGACATTGCTATTATTTTAACAAGTCCCTTGACAATGTTGGGTGCTTTAAAAAGTGATGATTAGAATTTTAATGAAACCCAAACATATGAAAGGGAATTTATACATTTTCTTTGTATTTTGAGAATTAGCAGCAAAAACATTGCCTTGTAGATGGTTTACATATTTTGATAATTTTATAAAGGTTTGTGGGCACAAAGGTTAAACATTACCTATGTATCTATATACATACATGTGTGTGTGTGTGTGTCTCACTCTCTCTCTCTCTCTCTCTATATATATATATATATATATATATATATTTTTGTGCATATATATATATATATATATATATTCATTTTTATATACTGATGTAACAGCAAAATTGTCCAATTGTTAGATTAAGCTTTGAACTGTTATATCTTAGAAATGATTAAAAATATCTGACTGGAATTCTCCAAGTTTTTTATAATACTGTTGGATTCTACTTTGTACAGTAAGAATGCATAATTCATAAAGAAATGTGATGAAATCAATAATAAATGAAAATGACATGTTCATCATTAATTAATTATAACTAAGGATCAGAAGCTTATGAAAGAAATAAAGTTCAATATATACATACATATATATTATTTCAGGATCATTTTCCAGCTTATTCAAGATGATCTTTGCCCTTTCTACCCTTCTAACAAGATGACTCGCACATTTCATTTTCAAGTCTTTTTTCACTGATCTTTGGACTGTCATAGCTGAAACTCCTCTCTCACATGCCAAACATCTTATGGATTGAGTTGGATCTTTTCTACTGAGCTCTTTAGCTCTAAGTTGAAATGATGATCCCTCTTTCTGTTATGACCTCCTGATCCAGTTTTTCTCTCTATTGTTCCCTCTTTTTTAAATTTATTCACAGTTCTTTATGATGGTTCTTGAATAAACCTTGAAGATAGAAGCTAGAGTATGAATGTTGGTACCCTTACTGAAGGCCTGAATAATTTTTTCCTCTCACCATTGCTCATTTGGGAAGACAGTGGAGCTGACACAAAATGATTTTAACCAGTTCTCTTTATAGCTGAATAACTCAAAAGGTTTTTCAGTGAGTCTTATGACAAATTGTATCAAGATGGCTAAATGTCTTATCTGAAAACCTGGAAAAAAGAAACAACTTGTTTAGTGGTTTTTAGATATTAAGCATTTTGTGGAAGGGATAATTATCCCATGCTATTAGATGATTTGGACAATTTTGTTGTTATACCTGGTGTGTGTGTATATATATATATATATATATATATATACATACACACACACATATCTTTAAATACACAAACATATATATGTACACACACACACATACATACATACATACATACACAGCTATACAAACGTACAATGTATACAGTCATATCTATAAATGCATATGAATTCAAACCAGATTGGAGCCTCCCTGTTGCACAATATGTGGATTTGTATGCAAGTCAATAGCAAAACTGAGTTGTCACTAAGATTGTCAGATCCACATATGTTGAAATCAATAGGAGAGTTTGTATTATATATATATATATATATATATATATATATATATATACACACACACACATATATATATATATATATATATATATATATATATATACACACACACTTATCTATACAAAGATATATACTTATATATCTATACATACATAGATATATACACTTATATACATATTTACATGCCTATACATACACACACTATATATATATATATATATATATATATATATATATATATATATACACACACACTCCTGCCAATAATTAACACTACCACCTAATAATAATAAAAATCAGTTTTCCAATGACATTTAGCCAATAGATTAACTCATTACTTATTTATTTATTCATTATTATTGTATGTATCATAAGTTACATTCTAGAAATTTCATCGCTCTCTTTACAGTATGCCAAAAACACAAGATCTGACTGTAACTGACAAAAAGCGCAACTTGTTTATCTCTTACCAATCTGGCAAAGCGATATAATGTTGCTCAATAAACTGTTGATCACACAAAGTCCAAATTTAAAGAACTGCTATTCATTCTAATCTTCTAAGAAGTGGTCATAGTCATAGCAGTACGACCTGCCAGGATCAACGTTTACATATGCTGCAGTGCTTGTGCCATTACTCAGCAATTTAATATGGAACAAGACACAAATATTTCTGCAAGTACTACATGCAATCATATGATATCATTTGGATTGCATAGTAGAGTCGGTAAGAAGATACCAATGATTTCAGCCTGCAATAAGATAAAAAGTCAAACTTGAGCTAGAGAACATAGCACTTGGACTGTCAACCAATGGCACAATGTGTTCACTGATGAAGTGCCTATCCACTTAGTTCAAACAAAGCAATATCGATATGTCCATTGCTATAAAAAAAAAAAGAGATGTGTTAATGAAAGATGACTAGACCAATGATTCACAGTGGATGAGGCAAGATAATGTATTAGGGTTGTTTCCATGGAGAGAACATTGGTCAAATTGTTGAAATTCCTAATCACCTGAATTCTGCTGGATACATTCAACTGTTGCAGGACAGTCTTAATGTGAATGATCTTGGTCAGTTTAATTACATTCTGCAGCAAGATAATAGCTCAATCCATAAAGCTAAGGTAATAATGGCTTAGTTTCAGCAACAAAGACTTATAGTTATGCCATGGCCCCCACAATCACCTGATGCAAACCCAATGTTTGGGCCACATTGAAGGAAAAATTGGAAAAAATGAAAATAACTTCAAAAGGAATGCTTCGAATGAAGGTCCAAGATGTGTGGCGTGAGATAACATCCAATTATCTCAACCAATTAATTGAATTGTCTGCCAGAATGGCTGCAATTATTGCAAATCGTGCTGAATTTACACATTATTAAGAACACATTCTTATATTTTATGAATCAGTTATATACTATTCAATTATATTGTTTGTTGCTACAGAAAGTTGAATTTCTTCTTATTATAATGTGGTAGCATTAATTATTGGCAGGGCTGTATATACACATGCATACACACATTATATATATATATATATATATATATATATGTAAAAATCTTTGGGGAAGTAATCCAAGTAGATCCTAATAATGTAAAATATTAAAACTGATCCACAAGAGTGCTCAATATATATTATTTATAGAGCATATAAATGAATTACATAAAATTAGACTATTATCTCCATTCAGATGGCTATTTCATCCCTGGGAGGTTGACAAGCCCCAGGGAGAATATCCCAGGGGTGAAATGGCCATCTGAATGGGGTAATAGAATTTCATTTTTATGTAATTCATATATATATATATATATATATATATATATATATATACACACACACACACACACACACATATATATGCATATACGTTGGCATCATATCAGAGTCCTTCATGCTTTATGTGTTGGTGACATTCTCTGGTGGTCGTAATGTTTCCTGCATCCAATAATAAATTGTCAGATGAGGAGAGTCTTATGATGTGGTCTGAAGTTTTGTCTGATAAAGAATCTGCCTCCACATCGACAACAACCATCAATGTGTTACTGTAATCTGGCTGTTTGGTGCTCACCACTCCTGTCATGACTGTTGACAATGTCACAGATGTTTCTAACAGGTGAGAGGACTGTGATAAATTTGGCAAATTTCCAGTTGCCTCCACATTTTCCATTTTCACATACGGTTTCAAAGACAAGCCAGAATTCTCAGAATTGGTCATCATAAGTTCTTGTTTGATACTCCGGTCGATATCTTTTTCTGTTTTACTGGAAGGGTCACTCAGGGCACATTTTTTGTATTGTGCCACAAGATTCAAAAGGTGAGGGATACCCAATATTTGGCCAATGTTATCCATATTGTCAATGATGTTGTTATTTAGAATAAGGAATCCCTCATAGATATAATTGCAAAGTGACCATAGGGCTTCTTCTTTAACATTACTGGTAAATGTCAATTGTAAAAAGTTGCTCTGAAGCACATCAACATTTTGCTCTTCAAGCAGTTTGACACAGGAAGCAAGCAAAATATCTCGATGGACCTGAAAGGAAAAGTCAAAGGGAAAATCAATATCAAGAAACACAGAATTCTTTTCTTTTTTTAAAAATATCTTTTTATATTGTTTAAAACTTTGAGAGGTGTCATTAACCTTTAGCATCAACATTATTAATATTACATTCCTTTCTATTGCATTCTTTTTCAAGGCCTCTCAGTTGCAGTATCCTTATTGTTAATTTCACTCAAAGTTGTTTTCTGTTGTCATAGCAGGATATGACAACACAACTATGAAATTCAAACACACTTATTGTTCAGGGATCAGAGTCACTTTCAGTGGCAGGATAAAATTTTTATACAGAAAATGAAGTCACATACAGAGTGATAAAGTTTAAGAGACCCAACTTTGCTTGAACAATTGAACATCTTCATTGTGTATTTGTTGTTAGGTTTCAGCAGATTCATTCTTCAGCTTTCACTGTAGACATTGAGGAAATCTCTTTGTTCCAGTAATATTCCCAAAATGGCAACAGAAAGTCGTCATCCATATAAAAAACTGAACCAATCCCTTCAACAGTGACAGGCAAATCAGGTAGTCAGGCAATTACAAGTTAGACCTAATGTTATAAAAATGGATCAGTCATGTCAGTTCATTTCTATTTTCCATTGTCCTCTTTTGGTTAGGTAAGAGATTTCTTATTTTTTTCTAGAGGAATATTTATGACATTATGCTAACAACAGCAAGTACGCAAAGAAGAGATTCAATATCTTTCATGAATTTGCATAAGGCTAAATGTTACATCAGAACAAAATACACCTTATCATAGATAATGAATTTCCTATGAGCCTTTTATATATATATATATATATATATATATATATAAAGGAAATATGTTGTAGTGGTTCCAACGAGAGAAAATATGTATATTAAAAAGAATTTTGCCAAACGTTTTTTTGTAATGTGGATTTATTGGAAAAAATTATTACTTTGTTTTAATAATTTCACAGAATGTTTCTATCTGGTCTAATATTCCACATTGAACATGAAGAAAAATTAATTATTTTTAATAATATGTAAAAATAATTTCACCTAAGACGGTTCATGACCAATGTGAAACACGAAAATTATGTAAAACAAAGTATTCTGTTTTTTCTCAATAAATCCACATTACAACCAAAACGTTTATGCACCCCTTCTTTTTTTATATATATATATATATATATATATATATATATATGTGTGTGTGTGTGTGTGTGTGTGTGTGTGTGTGTGTGTGTGTGGTGGATTCTCCCGTCATATTTGTTGTATGAGGGTCAAGCAGCTCAGTTCCTAAGAACCGACAGCCCAGGCACTAGCACATATAATTTGATTATGAATTTAATCTTTATTTAAAAAAAAACTATTATGTAAATTTTTGTAACTTTGTATAATATTTATGCATTACACCCTGATCTTTATTCAGTAAAATTTCATTGCTAATCATACATTACTTTTTAAGTAATACACATATTTATGTCTTTGTTGTTTCCGTTTCTTATATTATGGCCGCTACTGTCTATGCAAGACAAAACTAAGCAAACAATATATATGCAAGACAAAACTAGGCAAAGCAACAGTAATTAGGTAAAAAATTCAAATAGTAAAAATTTTGTTCACACGCAAAAAGGATAAAGTCGTGCTTATAATGTTATGATTCAAGGCAAGAAGGAACAAAAATATGGGAGATGAGAACAAGAATTGTCCATTTTTATTGGTTAGGAAGAAATCCCAGCATGCATCTGTAGGATATGTCTATAAATTTGAGGAGGGGGATGCTCTTAGAAGTTATTCAGCGAGAGATTTTATATTATGACAAATTGGTCAAGTAGAGCAAAAATAAACTTACATAATTATCTAAATAAATTAAAATAATCTGTTTAATTATTTTTCCTTAAAATTTTAACAAATTATTTAAACGAATTATTCCAACAAGTGGAAAAATAGTAAGTTTCCTAAATTCATTTTTATTAACTTAGAAAAATAATATTATTTCAAGAAGTGAAAGTAATCTGTTGTTAAATTATTTTTTATTATAATAATTAATAAAAAAAACAAAATTATTTAATTTAATTATTCATTGGGAAATTTGTAAACTTAAGCTATCAGCACACATGCTAGGCCACAAAAATCTCCTGGGCCAACCAAGCATACAAATGAATACAATATGGGAACCAGTAATAAGGAGTGCCAAAGAAAAGCGATAATAACAACAAAAGTTGCAATATGAGCTCTGGTAAAAACTTGCAATGATAACAGCAAAAAATTGCAATATGAGCACTGGTAAAAATGGTTGCTGAAGACATTAGGTTTATAAAACACAGAAATTCATACACAGATGTCCTCAAGGACACATGGCACAGTGGATAAAGGCATTGATTAGATCCAGTGACAGGACCTAAAGAGTGTCAGAGGGAAATTAACAGGAGATAACTGACATCCATTAAACATGGCACGTGGAACTAGAACAGTCTACCCCAGTGAGCGAAATAAAGGGTTAAGATGGCCGGAGGTACAACAGCCAAAATGTTGTAATAAATATGGCGACAAAGATGAGGACGATAGTCCAAATAATGTAAATAATGTACATAATACCTCATCTCAGAAATATAGACAGATACCAAAATTATTTAAATGTGTAAATATAGTCAGTTAGTGAATTGTTTTTATTATTAATAAAAACGATAAGAGAACTTCTATCGCAACTTTGTTTCTTTTTGTAGGATGATTATCATTCACTTCATATTGTAAAATAATTGTAAATCTACGACTAAATACAATTTCTTAGGCCAACCAAGAAAGTATTCTAATGTTTGACTATTTGGTGTTAATTAGGGATGTGTATCAGGCTGAGAATTTCTCAGCACCCTGTACAGATTCCCTGAACTCAAATTTAGTCAAGTATAAATATTATTAGCACAATCAAGAAATGAATTTCTAACATTTATTACAATTATCAGTGATCAAAATTTAACAATAACAAAAGCTCTAACCCATCAGGGTCACTGGGAGAATCACATGTAGTGTAGCCACAACAATAGTGGATATGTCTAGGGTAAGATAGCCTGACAGAGCCCATCACACTTTAGGATGTTGTTGAAATTAGTGATGTCTTCTTCCAAAGCTGGTTGCACATCAAGGCAAGAGAACCCAGTCTACTTTGCTATTTAACCCATGACTAGAGAAAAATGAATTCATGTTTTTCCAAATGTGAAGGGAACAAAACAGACTTAATCAGAATTTGAACTCTACACACCAATTTTATTTTTGGGGGTCAATAACAGTTATACCACCCTTACATCCAAAAGTGACATCAAGTAAAAACAGAATTTTAGAGGAATATCTTTTAAAAAAAAAAAAGAATTTTATGTAAGTTTTACTGCAATTTGTCAAATATTTCCCCTCAGATGTTCTTTCAGTTTATAAATATATTTTGTTCCTAAGTATAAAAAATTGATGACGTTAAATGAAAGAAGACAGATGAAGATCGTCTTACCATTATATTAGTGGAACCGTTACCAACAGCTGCATTACACAACAACCGCATCCTCCACAGATGACGAAATCGTGCCATTAGCCAGTCAGGATGTTGCAATTCAAATTTGTACACTGAGAGAGGTTCAGCTAATATTTCTGATGAGGTCGGCGACAAATGCAGAGGTTGGGGTGCTGTTAGAGATGATTGTGTTTGAGGTAATGTTGCTTGAGACTCTACACTTGGTGAAATGACTTTCTCACTGGGTCCCCTACAAGAGAAACAAAAACATAAATGAAACATTTTTTTTCTATTCTATGGACGGCAACAAAAGGCATGAATTCAAAATGACACTGTTTTCATGTCTTTAGGGTTAACGGCTTTGGAGAAAACAGAAAATGTCCCTCTGACTTATGAGAAGTTATCTTAAATCATGGTCTTGTTACTGGTACACCACAAATGAGAAAAGAATTAAAAGAATAGAGGAATAATTTCTCACAAATAGCTTATCTGTTTAAATATAGGCAGCAAAATGGCTGTTATATCCAATATCAGTCTTGAAAGATAGTGACCAGTGACTGTTTTTGATTGATTCGTTTCCTACTGCTTATCAACCAGTTTATTTAAAGACAGAAAATATTTTTAAATTTTAAGAAATTTTTTTTGGAGATAATAATAGTATAGTGATACAAGTCTTACTAATTAACCAGCTTGGGGAAGAAGAGATGATACCCAAGGGTATCTGCCCATAATGAATCTATATAATTGGAACTCAGCTCTCTGATTAAAAATTCAAAGCCATTATCAGTTACACCACCTGCACATCCAAGCTTACAGCACCTGATACTCCCCAGTGGTCACCTAGGTACTGATTAGGTTCAATGTTGCTAAACTTCAGTCCTCATATAGGGAACCATTGTTTTGACATGATGTGGTCGTATGCAAGCCAGTGATTGAATAACTTTGGTTTTGAATCTCAATTTATAAAGTTTAGCTTAATATTGAACATTGACAAATATAAGTGTTTGGAAAAGATTATTTAGGGTTCTACCAGTTATCCAGGTGAAGAAATCTTGCTTGCCTAAAAAATCCTGGTGTGAAATACAAACATTTCATATGAAAGCCAGGAAATTAAAATCACATTATATCAAAAAAAGTTTTCAAATTAGGTTAATCGAAATCAATGGTGGCCAAATTTACTTGATATAAGAGCCACTTTCAATAAAGTTCAGATGTTTGAGAGCCACAAGACATGAACACAATTGAAATTTTTCTCATTTACCTTTTATATTAACTGTGATGAAAAAAGGAGCTCAACCAACATATTTCCATGAGCCACATATTAAAGGTCAAAGAATCGCATGTAGCTTGCAAGCTGTGGTTTGAACACCTCTGATCTAAATAAAGCTATTAGAATCTCCAGTGGACAAATTATTATTTAAAGGGACCTTGCTCTAGATTTTGTTGTTCTCAGAATTAACAGTAATTAGTCCTTAAGCAAACACTAGCCTTGTTACCTTAACTAACACTTGGAATATGGTCATAAAAAGAAAATGTAATATAAAATATTGATAAATTCCCCATGAAGAATTTTCATCCTGAGCAGATTGCGGAAATTTAGGTGTCAAAATACATTTATTTTAACTGACAATTCCCATGATGAAACATTAGAAGAAATGCTCCATCCAATGTAGATGTGAAGGGAAATGACCTTTGTTAATTTAGACTAAACTAACCCTTTAAAGCCAGAAGCAGCCAAATGCACCAAAAATGTCCCATGCTTACAAGGCCAGGCATGTCTGAATGTGCCAACAATTGCATAACACTGTAAATCAATACACAGCATTAACAACATGACATGATCAGCTATAGAGGCATTAGAAATTGATGACTTTAAGTGAATTGGGATAGCAAATGATGCCTTCCAAAGCTAAACAAGAGACTTGAGCAACAGAAATGTGGTTCTGCAGAAGGATGCTGAGGATACCATGGACTGAATATGTTAGCAACAACAAAGTTTTAGAGAAAATGGAAACAAAAAGGAAATTTATAGTTGTTAGAAAGAGACAGCTGTTTTTTAACCATGTCTTCTCCATCAAATATTTTCACTTTTTTAAAAAGTAATTTATCTCGTTGTAATCAGTGAATAAACTTAGCTAAGAACTAAACCAAATAAATGATTATTTCATTATTTCAGCCAATTATTAATTACCTCCTTCATTGGATTTTATTCAGATTTTAATTTGAAGTCAGGTATGGTGACATAACTCCATTTTTTTTATTTTTAAAATACCATCAATAATTTTTCATATTGTTGTAGCATACCTACAGACAATAATGCGTATGCCCCCATTCCCATAAATACAGTAGTGAATACTGTACGTGGTCTAGAATTGAATATTCATTGTGGAATTCAGTTGACTACTACTTCTACGCGCTGTTGGCGAATCTTATATGTTTGTTCTTGTCCTAAGTATTATCGTTTATTACCAACCTTCATTTGATTATTCTATTCAGTAACCTTCTCTAAGTTACAACACATTATTAACTGTTATACTCTGACCCACAAGGCAACAAGTGTCAACAAATAATGAGATTAAATAAAACAATGACTTACCCATCAGATGATGGCATATTGGAAGTGTCTAAAGTCAGGTTACACGTATCAATTGAAGATGCTCGCCTAGTCTTCCGGATATTTTCAATTACAGGAGATACATCGTTGTTCAACTGATTCACGTCGTTCTGCATCCGTTTCAACCAATATTCCTGCCTGGCCCTAGATTCACGTTTCTTGATCCTCCAGTATTCTCGCATCCATTCTTTGGGTCGACGGTGTATAGTGCCACGCCCACGAGAGCGAGAACTGGTACTACTGCTTCCACGGCCTCGAGAGCTGACACCACCACGACCACGAGGTCTATTTTGGCTGGACAATGAAATGCAGAGTAAGTGACAATGTTCTACTAAAATAAAGAATAACACACCAAGATAGACATAGAGATATAAATATATAAATAGGAAAAAAAAAACATATGCAGATGAATCCCTTTTGCCTTAGTGGCTTTATCACCATGCTTGGAGTGAAATGATTAAAAAAAATGAACATAGATAAAAAAAACAAATATTGATATCAAATAAGGTTCACACACACATCAATAAGCTAAGTAACAAATTTTTATTTGTATTAATCCTATATATATATATATATATATATATATATATATATATATATATATAAACCCTTTATTCTACATTCAACATCATCATTTGATAAGACACCAGAGATGTTGAAACAAAACAAAATGGCTATTTTTGTAGTGATTTTATAACATATTTATGTTATAATTTTCGAATAAATAATTATAACATATATATATATATATATATATATATATATATATATTACCACTTTGTAACTGGTAGGGATAATTCCAAGGAGGATATTAATCAAAAAAGAAATCAATGTATTTTGAATACAATTGTATCCTTTCAACTACAGATAAAATGTATTGCTGTTATTTTGCTTTAAAAATGTAGTTTTGGTCATTTTAATATAAATATTGTTTAGTTGGTCCTTTTTTATATAAAAATGTATAGTTGGTCCTTTTTTATATAAAAATGTCTTTTAAATACTTTCATAGTCTTTTGTTTGGGGTTTCACTATTTGCCACAGCTGGGATCCTAACATATGCTACCAGCCCAGATCAGGTGGATCTGGGAACAAAAAAAAGTTAAGAGGTGGTTCCACACTCCTCAAAACCTCCAATCTCCTGATCAGAGACTTTGCTGAGACTCAATGTCAATATGTTCACTTGTGTTACTGTAACAACAATAGTAAGTAGTGGAGATCAGGCTGATAATGCTTTTTATTTCTTTTGTTTTATGCTAGTTTTCTTTGGATAGTTTTGCTTTTAACATTTTAGAAAGAACTATTTTTACATGTGATTTTTATCAATACAATTGACTAGTGACCCAACAGTCAATTGTATTAAGAAAAATCACAGATTACTTATGCAAAAAATACATTTGCAAAATTAGTGAAATATTACCGTCATTTTATGGTTATGGTAAACAAGTACATTTATTAAAAATAACTTTTTATAGTGAAAAAAATTATATTTAGAAACCAATGCAGTCATAATAAAAACAAAATCTTTTCTTATTTTTTTTTTTACATCTCGCCAAACTTCACAATGGTCCTTTCCTCTATACAAGATTGAGATGATTAAATAAGTTGGTGTTTGCTAAAAATTCTGTACCTAACCAAGAACAGTGTGACACTGAGCTGTCAGCCTGTGGTCAACTCCCTGTCATGGTGCAAAACTGTGATATTTCTCCTACCAGCATTTTGGGGTTGACTCTTAGTCACTGCCACCAGCCTGTGTATCAGTCGATTGGTGGTTGTTGCTACCTGACAGAATCCTTTAGTCAAGGTACCAAGTGGGATGGTCAGTTGTTGCTAACAGCTCCACACCAGCTGCAACTGGTTCAACACCAGCTCCATCGTTCTCAGCTCACTTCCAATGTCTGGTTACAAAAGTAACTACTTCAATCTCAAGTCTAACCTACCCATGTTGTGATTTTGATCTTAGGTAGACAAGATCAATCAGGCGTTGGGCCGTAATGTAAGATGAGTCTAGACTGGAGGTGATGTCACACAATCAGAAAAGAAGCAAATAAAAACCCAAGAGGTTCAAGTACATTGAAAGAAACAAATTAACTTTTATTCATCTGTTATATACAGGAGTGTGTGTTTTTCTCCCAATCCGTTTTCTTTAGAGAGTGACACTTTTATGCTTCTTAGGCAAGTTCTGGTCTCCTAAGTCAACTGGTTTAGTTTTTAAGTGCTAGCTTAGCTTCGTTCGTCTGTATAATTTGCTATTGGTAGGATAGGCGAAGTTGGAGGTTGTGGAATCTCTCGGTCAGCTTCTGCAAGACAACACTCTGGTTCCTGCTACTCGAACTGCAACTCCAAAAACAACTCAACTGGTGAACTACCCAAGGGCATTTGTTTATATGAACACTGACCAAAAACTGGTGCGGGATTAAACGCAGCCTGGGGTTTTTGGTAAATCCCGATTTCTGACAAGAAACCTCTTTGTTGTCTGGCCAGGAAAATTGATTACTTCCCATTTTGGAAAATTAATCACTTTCAAGTTTTGGGAGGATCCCTTCATCCATGAGAAGAGGTTGCAGGATAGCCATCCTCCTAAACTCCCCACTTCTCACATTGATACCTCATACCAAATCCTTTCAGTGGGGATTAATAATTTCCCTGTCTTTCTCATCAAATTACCTCCGCCTATCACCATTTCTACCACTCGACCAATGGCATCCCAGCCATGCAGGCGTGCTAAGCTGGCCTCATGAAAATTATAACCTAGAATTTTTTGTTTACAAAATTCTTGTTCTCATCAGCCAAAATTCTTATTAATAACACACAGCCACTTAAAATCTCTAAGATCTTCAACGCTTTTGGTCACTTTGAATCTTCTTAACCAGTACTTTTACAAACATCATCAATCAATTGTCAAAGTCTACCATCTGGTCCCTTCATGAAGTTAGCATCTACGGGAACCCTTGGCTTCTTGAGAAAAAATAAATAAATTGATAATAATTTTCTTTATCTTCAAATTAGCAATTCTTCCAAGATATTTTCTCATGCCAAAATTCTATAATCAACACATGGCCACTTAACTTGCCAGTACTTAAAATGATATCTTGGAAAATTAAATAATGGTAATTCACTCTACCCCATATCAGTAAATAATTTAGGAATATTTTCTCATGCCAAAATTTTTATCATCAACATATGGCCTGTCGCCTGATATCTTAAACGTTTTTTCTGATTCTCGTGTTTTCTCGGCCAGTACTTTTACAAACATCATTAATCAATTGTCAAATGCTCACATATGACCTTTTTGTGAGTCCACTGTTTACGCCAATTCTAGGATTTTTGAGAAAAGTAACTCAATTTTATTTTTAATGTAAAAATAAAAATCGCGGGGTATCTTCTTTTCCGTTCTCAGTATTTTCTTGTTTAATTTTCATGCTTAATTAGTTAATCAATTACTATAGCTAAATAGTGTCAGAAGAGATTCCAAAATAAAAAAAATGTTTGGTGATTTCATCAGATTTTGGGAAGTGAGTCAGACTGAAAATTTTTCAACAGTTGCCCTTGTGTGTATCTATAGATAGAAATAGATTAGCAATTAATGAAAGTTAATTGCTAATACATGAACTACTAGACCAGAATGTTGCACACTTTATGAGAGAAGAAAAAGTAGGCTTTTGTTTTAATCAAATAAAAATTTGATGAAAAGCTTTTAATAACAATTCCTGTTTCTGCTATCAATCCATAGGAACTTAATAGGGTAGGTGTATAATAAGTGGGTCAAAATTGTTTTGTTGAGTCATTACAGTGTTATGTAAGTCTAGGATAACATTTGATAATCCAGCAAAATATCTAATTTGTAGAAATTTGGTGATCAAACTAAAAGATTAAGACAACAACATATATCTTTTTACACTTGCAACTGACATTTAAGTTGAAGATCATCTTCACAGTCATCAGTGGCAGTTTTGATATTTTCTCAGTCAAAATTTTGGTGTTCTTCCTGCTGTCGAATCAAATGAAAACCAAAATAAAATTACCCTACTCTTTATTCTGAATCATCAAACAGTGAAGTCTCCTAGTTCCAGTTGAAACATTTTGCCAGTAGGATTCAGACCAAGAGAGGATTACACACACAGAAAAAAAAAAGATTATTGGGACTTCCTCTGAAACACAACAAAACCTATGTTGTAGAGTAGTTTCACAGTGGAGGCTTGTATTTCACTAAGTTGGTCTTAAAATAGGTTTGACGTACAAAACGTTAGGAACTTGATATAATAGGTAATGACGCAGAGAAATCTAGTGGTGGTCGCTGATACTTTTGGTATCCAACATCGACTGACTGACCAACTCACTGAGCGACTGGCGACTATTACTACTACTACTACTTATTATAGGTGGGAGAGTCTATTAACAATAGAATAGGTGTGTTTCACTATAACAACCTAACACTAAATTTCCAATGACAATTTTCTAATGTATTTATGTATTTTTATGTTTGTATATATGTATTATCATGCATGCATGTATTATTATTATTATTATGATTATTACGTATACATGTAGGTATTATTATGTATGCCTTAAATATATTAATGTACAGGGTGCGATGGGTAAATTGTCGCCCTTTTATATTTTTTAATTCTGTATATGCATGTCATTTGTATTTGATTTTGTCAACTGCACAGTATAGTAGGATCAGTTGGGCACCACCTGTGAAAAAAATTGCACCATGACACAATTTACTCAGCCAGGAATTTGGAAACAGCATGCTGTACTGCTTGGTATTCATGCCAGAAGCTCCAATACAAATATTTCAGAGTGTTTGGGTGTCAATCTGAGAGCCGTGCAGAGGATTCAGAAAGAGTTGGATGAGTCTAATGGTGATTACAAAGGTACTGACTCTAATTGTTCTGATAAGAAAAGAACCCCTGAATTTGTTGATTGAGGGCCTCAGACTCAACAAGGAGGCCTACATCAAATATCTTGAGGGAGGGTAGTGTTGCCCTGGGCCAAGAAGATGGCTGCTGGAAGACTATGTCTGGCAACTGACTCTGCGCCATGCCACACAAGCAGAAAAACCCAGTCATGGCTGTCAGACAATTTCTGCAAACACAACACCCCTTACATCTGACCACCCAACTTCCCAGCCTGTAACCAAACCCCTTGATTAATATGTATGAGTCACAGTTGAGAGAGAGACCAACAAAACTTCTTGTAACATCACAGATGAACTGAAGGTAAAGATTATGGCAGAATTCACCAAATTAAACAAGGAGACCATCTAGGAGAGTTACAGGAGATTCTGAAGT